GAACCATGGCTGTTGTCATGCACCACCTGCTCTTGTGGAAGGGCACCAATGTCTGCGAGCGCGGGCGCCTCCTCCACGACGCTCGACAGCGCGAACTCGGTCTTCTCCTCGGCCATGGCACACGTGTGGTGATGGGACAGGTACGGTGGTGGTGGAGGGTTGTCAGCGTTTGCAAAATGACAGCATAAATTGCATTCAACAACCACGTGCAAACGCCACAAGCGACGACACCACACCACACACAGCTGGATATGGACGTGGATCAGCTGCTGCGGGAGTCGCAGCAAAAAGCAGAGGCCCTCAAGAAGCGTGTGCAGGTGCAGCGCACAGAGGAGTACTATGTTGACGAAGGAAACATGTTTGGTGCCGATCCAAGGCCAGTCGACCTGCACAAATTCAAGTACGTGCAACAACGTCTGCGATGAGCGATTGTTCCATGCCATGTGCATCATGCGCACTGCTACTGCTGCTGTTCGCAGCCGACGACCCCACACGCAATTGCAAAGGATCGACACACAAACTGCACATGCATGGTCATCACACAAATTGTACACACATACACAGGGTCATCGCACAAACCGTCATCGCACAAACTGTCAACGCACTCGCACACACAGGCACAACCACACTCACACTCACACTCACACTCACTCGCACTCACGCAACACAACACGCAACACCCAACACGCAACAACTCGTGCACTAATTCTGTCGCTCTCCCATGCTCCCACCATCATTGCACTCGCACACCTTCAGCTCCGAGGCTGGTCGTGAGGAGATGAAGGAGACGGCGCGCGAGAACGTGCAGCTGCTCTTCAACGCCATCTGGAAATTGCCCATGGAGAACGACGACGAAGGCCGCTTCGCCGTCCTGCCACCACCAAAGATGAGGCTGCCGCGCCAGAAGCCTGCGCCAGAGCAGCGCGAGAAGACACGCTGGGAGAGATTTGCAGAATTGAAGGGCATCAAGAAGACAAAGCGCAGCCGCATGCTCTACGACGAAATGTCTGGGGTAAGCGCGTATGTTGTGTTGCGCTGTGTGTTTGTGATATATGCGTGTGTTTGTGACATGTGTTGTGTGTGCATGTGCGTGTGCGTGTGTTGGCAACAGGGGCTCGCATTTCCATACTCGCACCTGTGTGGGTGTGCGTGTGTTTTCTCGCGTATGTGTGTCCACCTCCTGTGTGTTCTCCATGCACGTGCACCTTCGCGTGGTTTGTTTCCATGGCAGCAATTGCATGCTGTGACGCATCTGATTGCGTTTGCTGGCGTGATTGTGACCACAGGAGTGGCGCCCTCGCTGGGGATACAAGCGCGCCAACGACGCAGCAGCTGTGCCCTGGATCGAGGTCAAGGAAGGCTCTGGTGAGTCCCAGTCCGTGCGTGTGTATGTGTGTGTGTGTTTCCGTGTTCGTGTGTGTGTGTGTGTGTGAGTGTATGTGTGTGTGTGCTCGGATGTCTCCGCATTCATGCTGACCACTTGCTGCTAAGCTGCTTGCGTTCCAGTGGTTGATCTGTCCTTGTATTTCCTATGTCAGCTGGCTAATGACACGTGTTTCGATCCACCATAGGTGCCCATCTGCTCACCACCCTCCTTAACCTTTGCTTTGCATTTTCCATACATCTGTGTGTGTGTGTGTGTGTGTGTGTGTGTGTGTGTGTATTCAAGACCCCCCCCCCCGTGTACGTGCCTGTGCTGCGTTTTAGACCCGTATGAGGACCAGTATGAGAAGCTGAAGAAAGACAAGAAGGCGCGGGTGGAGAAGAATGAGCAGCAGCGCCTCAAGAACATTGCTGCTGCGCGACTCAAGGCAAAGGGCATCCCCGCAAACAGACACCTCATCCAGAAGGAGGCAAGCGCACCCCAGTGTATGCCTGTGTGACTGTGTGTGTGTGTGTGTGTGTGTGTGTGTGTGTGTGCTGTGGGTAGTGATGTTGCGTTGTGGGATGCTTGCACGGAGTGCGTATTCTCGGTGGCTGGGGCAACCAATCACCATTGATGTGTCACAACCGCGCCACCGCTGTTGCCACCGCTGTTGCCATCATCGCCTCACCCCCGCGTCTGTACCGCCACGGCCTCCAATATGGACGGCATTCCCCGCCAGCTGAAGAAAGCGATTGCCATTGGCCGCAGCTCGACCGCATCGGCCGGCGTCTTCGACAAGGACCTCGTACGCCACGCCCTGCCCTGCTGCGCTGTGTTGTGTTGTGTTGTGTTGTGTTGTGTTGTGCTGTGCTGTGCTGTGCTGTGTTGCGCTGCATTGTCGGGTAAATGTGTTTGGTGCACTGCGTCGTGTGGCGGATTTGTTGTGGTCTGTTGCATCGCATCACGGCTTGTGTTGGAGCAATGCTCCTTTTGCGAGTGCATCCCTCACATGCTCAACCCTTTTTCACCATTGGCGCTCATCTACACAGCCCGGAGAGGCCAAGATCAAGAAGCAGGGCAAGCGCACCAAGGTGTGTGTGTGTGTGTGTGTGTGTGTGTGTGTGTGTGTGTGTG